GCATGAGGACAGTGAGTACCACAGGCTCCTCAGGGACAGGGCCCCTACAAGGTCGGTTCAGGGCTCTGCCTGATAACACTTGGGAGGGTCTTTTGCCTAGAACAGGTACTAGCTCAGTATCAGGTTGCAGATAGTGAAATGCACAAGTCCACAGAGACAGAGCAGACGCCACCAGGGTGAAGTTAGGAGAGCAGAAGTGTGAGCCAATGTGGATGAGGCTTCTTGGGGATACACATGTTCTAAAGTGAGTGTGGTGAAGGCTGCAGGTCTCTGTGCACACTGAAAACCAGTGAGTCATCCACTAAGGGTGAATTGTGGGACACGCATCTCAATAAGGCCACTGTCAACAAAAGGGTACACAGACAGACCATGTGTTCACACAGCATCTGCTGGGTCCATAGACAGGTAGACACAGCATGTGTGTACATATATACATATGCACATGCACATACAGGTATATGTACATATGCTCCTTGTTCTGTTTACCCACAGTAACAAAATAATTCTCTAACGTGAGTACACCCTGCCCTAATGTACTGACAAAAACCTACTCAGTTTCCTCCAGGTTAAGAAAACTAGAGAGAAACAGCTTTCTGGTGTCTGAGCCCTAACCAGGCGCTTTCTCACTCCAGACCCCTGTCTGGTCCCAGCTGTAGTGTGGAGCCCTCCGAGTGAGGATGTGCCCATCCAACCTCAGACACTGCTCTGATCAAGGGTTCAAAGCCCACTCCAAGGCTACAGGGACAGATCCTGGCTCAGCTGCTTACTGGCTGCCCCACCCTGGCATGCTATTGCTAGGGCCCCCATTTTCTCATTCCACCTCCCAGCCAGTGCCACTCTGAGAACTAAAAGAAATTACATACTTCCAGTAGCAAAGAGCTTCTATTATTTCTTAGTTGCCAGAGTGTGTAAGTGCTCACCAGAAAGAGAGAGAAAGAGACAAAGCACATTCTCATGGGGGTATGGTCACACTGAAATACTTTTTCTTCCATTTTTTCATCCTGGCAGGATTTGGGGTATGCATACACATGTGCCTGGTGTGTTATCAAGAGACTGGGGCTGGGATTTTCAACCATCAAAACCCTCTGCCCAGACCTCACCCTCCTGCTCCCCAGTCTAGACAGGAGACAGAATAAGCCAATCAGCAGCCATCTATCTTGGAGTTCTGAGTGCCCCAATTCGTGCTGTGTGATAATGCACCACACAGTTTTTGTTTTTTGACAAAAAAATTTTTCTTTCCCTTTTCTTGTTTTTGTCTGTCTGTCTCTCTCTCTCTCTCTCTCTCTCTCTCTCTCTCTCTCTTTTTCCTATTTCTATTCCTTTTCCTTTTCTTTTTACCTTTCTCATTTTTCTGCTCAGCCTCCACGCACTGATCTTCTAGACAGGTCTAGGTGTTCAGTAGCCAAATACCTGAATACTTTTAGCGTCAGATTGACCCTCCATTTTCATTGAATCACCTGAACAAAGAGAGAAAAATGGTACTGTTTACAGATTGCAGGTCACCTCCTCCTGCATTCCTTTGATTGCTCAGATTTAACTCTTAAAAATAGGAAAAAACGAATAATCCATCAGGTAACCAGAAACCACAACAGAGGCACAAGAAATATGAATAAGCAAGAAGATACCTCTCCTTTAGTGGAAAAGAATAACTCCTCTTCCTCCACAAAGAATACAAGGGAACTCATGGAAATGTCAGATAAAGAATTTAAAATATTCATAGTGACAAAGCTAACAGAGATGCAAGAGAATAGAGACAATGAACTCCAGAAGATGCAAGGAAAAAGAGACCAAGTTCCAGGAGGTGAGGAAGTTCTTGCACAATCTGAAAGAGGAGATAAACATCATAAAAATAACCAAATGGAATTGTTAGAGGTGAAGGCTGTAATATAGGAAATCAAAACATCCCTCGAAAATATTAAAAGTAGATAAGATCATGCAGAAGATCAAATCTCAGATGTAGAAGACAGAACTTCTGACCTAGAAAACTTCACCAAAAAGATTGAGAAAATAACCAAAACTGAGAAAATAACCAAAACTATGAAAATAACATACGAATAATACTAGATATCATTAAACACCCAAACATCTGGATCATCGGTATCCCAGAAGGAGAAAAAACTAAAAAGGGCATTGATAATCTATTCCATGAAATCCTGGAAGAAAACTTTCCAAACCTAGAGAGGTACTAAAATATCCAGGCCCAAGAAATACAAAGGACCCTACATACCATCAACCCAATAAGATCTTTCCCAAGGCACATCATAGCCAGATTGGCTAAAACCACAGAGACAAGATACTAAAATTGGCAAGAGAAAAACGTCAAATTGTTTTCAAAGGATATCCCATAAGATTAATATTGGACCTCTCATTGGAAACAATGCAAACAAGGAAAAAAATGGGAAAATATATTTAAAGTGTTAAGTTAAAAACAATTTCAACTATACCCAGCAAGATTATCTTTCATATGGGAAAAAAAGACAAAAATATTCTCATATAAACAAAACCTCAAAGAATCTACCAACACCAGACCAGCTCTCCAAGAAGTGCTGAAGAGAGTGCTATACCAAGAAAACTAAAGTTGGCCACACAGAAATAAAAGTACAAGAAACAACTAAGAAAATGGCCAGTCTAATGGTAGGGACAAGTCCGGAGTTGAATGCTAACTTCCAGATTTTAAATGGAAATATCATACCACATTAACACTACAAATTCGATAGAAGAGAGATTAATTATGTAAGTCCGAGCTAGTGAAACAGATTTTTTTATTTTACTTTAGACTAAAACATTACTGATTGTCTTCAATGCTTTGATTTCCATATTTAAGGATTTTTGTCTTCTCTTGAACTGTTGTTGGTTCATCTACCTACTATTTGAACTGAATCCTAACCTTTTTGCTAGCTTTAAGTTTTAAAAAATTTCTCTCAACTTTTTTTATTTGATCTATTAAAACTAAAAGATTTTTTGAAATTAAAAAATACATATTAAAAAATACCTATTAATACCCACCTAATGACTGCAGTAAGCTATATAGCCCCACCAAGGTGCTACTTTATAGGATGTTCACTTTACTCACTGAGGTTTACTCCTAAAGTCAGACATGTGTTCATAAATATGTATTTATCAGCAGTGCTTGCTACTGAAAGTCTCTAAATCAATTGAGATCTTTAGTGAATCAATAAAAATGTGAAAAAAAAAAGGCATAGCAAACAACTATACATACCAGAGACAGAGTGGGAGAAGGGGGGCAGTTGGCAGAGTGTGAGAGGTAGGGAATTGAGGAGGGGACAAAAGCAAAATATATAAGAAATAAGAAATAGAAAATTATTTGTTGATGATAACATGTATGGTAATATCCTTGGTTGAGCCAATATACAATGTATACTGGATGGAAAAGCTCATCTTGTACACTGTATTGATATACAGTGAATGACTGTAAATAAATAAATGTATGAATGAATAAAAAAAGAGACTGGGGCTGGGATTAGAACTATAGTTGGTCATGTGGGAGCGGGCTCCCTGTGCAACCCAGTGGTTAAACTGGGTACAGCACCTACTTTTTGATATTCTAGAACAAAAAGACTCTTAAAGAAAAGCTGGCTCCATAGCACAGCAAAAATGCACAGCTCAAGAGAAATCAGATCCCACGTGGCAACTGTGGTGTGGCTTGAATTCTGCCCAGTCAGACTTAAACGCACAGGCACTTACACAAATGCCTAAAATCCAATAGGCTGAATGACTAGAAGAAGGCATGATTGGGCCACCAGACCCTGTGGAGGGTGCTCCCCTCTTTCCCATTATCATGCATGCATGCACTTCATCATGAATGAAGGAAAACAAATGTTCAAGGAAAAGAAACAAAAGACAGCTATGTTTTTGCTAAAATGAATGTAGTCATTGCTATATCTCCAGGATCCCTGTGGGTGCTCGAATCCCTTATATAAAGTGGCATAATATTTGCAGACAACCAACAAACATCCTCCCCTATACTTTAAATCAACCCTAGATTAATTATAATACCTAGTGCAATGTAAATACTATGTAAAGTTATTATATTGCATTGTTTTTATTAGTGTTTTTTTTATAATTATTTTTTTTTATTATTTTAATTGCTTTGAGTATTTTCTACCCCTACCCCATTGGTTGGATCCGAGATGTGGAACCCACAGACATGGGGGGAGCAACTACATTGATCGGGCTTTGTTCCCTATTTCTAGGAGAAGGAGTCCAAGTGGAACGGTTTTTCTAGGGTGCAACATCTTGCAAGTTTCACATACAGGACTGGTTACCACCCATCCTGAGCCCTCGCCTCCCAAAGGCCAGGAGCACAGTGCAGGTGCAGGAGGAGCAGGACCAGACAGACTCACAGCAGCACCAGGCATTGCCCCTGCGCTTGCTCAGGTAGAAGTCTAAGCCCTCGCCTGTCTCATGCCAAGCATAAAACTGCCTGTAGGCTGCCAGAAAGCCCAAGCCCCCACCTGTACCCCAAGGGGCAGGGCTTAAGGCAGGTCTCATGTCACCACTTCTCGGGTCTCTGAGGAGTGCTCAGGCCACCTGAGTCTGAATTCCCTGGACTTGTTAAAAATACACATTTCCTGCCGGACCTGTACACCTACTAACCCTGGGGTAGGTGGCCTGAGACTTGGCATTTCTTGAGTTTCCTGATGACCTGATGAGACCTGTGGTCATATCCAGTTCCCTAAGAGGTTGACCACTCTGCATCATCACCATCACACACTTCCTAGGGAAGTGGAATTCACTGCCTTACAGAACAGCCATGCTCTGACCACTAGAGAGGCTTCCATAAGATGCCGTCTGCAACCTCCAAACAGGTGCAGCCCCACTCCTCACACCCTGGCTAGGTGGTACCTGGCCCTTACCCGTGCTGGGCAGGGCCTCCACAGACCACAGATGGCCTCCCCATCTGGCACTTGCTGATAGAGGTTTCTTTGCTGACCTTCCCTCTCCATACACCCCCAGGAAGCAGAAAGGGCCCATCTTGCCTGCGCGGCCCAGAGGTAGTCCAACCGCAGCCTGACGTCCACCTGCCGTGCGTGCAGGGCCAGTGCACACGAGAACAGCAGAATGGCCAGGATGGGCTCATAGCTGCGTCCCGAGCTGGCGCCGCCCCTGTGAAGATGACAGAAGTGCCTCAGTGCCACACTTTCAGGGCAGACGCCATCACCCAGGATGTGCAGAGGGACCCACAGGGTGTCCAGCAGATAGCTTGGCTTGCGGGGTTGGTCCACGTGAAAGCACTTCTCACCAGGAAACCCAAGGCCTTGCTACAGTCTGGGCTAAGGAGAGAGGCAAGAGCCAGAAACTAACACTTTCGTGGATACTCAGCCCCTGCCAGCGTTCTTCTGTACTGAGTAACAGCCTTGAAGGGGGGAGGTGTGAGGGGTTGCACTTACCCAGCCTTGGTGTACCCGCTGAGCTCCAGGACCAGGATGTAAGACGTGGTGAGCCCAGACAGCAGGATCATTTTTGGCACAGAGGACACCCGCAGGAAGATGGCGAGCGGGAGGGTGCCCACCAGGCAGCAGAGCAGGGCATGGTGCGTGGACTCACAGGGCAGAGCAGGCAGCACAGGGTGTCGGCTCCCAGACGAGATGACCGCCAGGGAAATGTTGGACTTGGGGCTCCAACCCCAGGGGAGGCAGCCCACCTGAGGAGCGAGGGGTGTGGGAGCTTGGGAGAGGCCATGGGGTTCCAGTCCTCCAGGGGACCCTCCTACTCTAGTCTCAGCCTCCTGCCTCCCCACCGTGCAGGGCAGCTCCAGTCTGCTCACAGCCCCTCAGAGCTCCCATGACCACTGGAGCAGACAAAGGCATACAGAGGATCCAGTGGTATAGCCCTGCCCTAAGCCCATGCTCGGGCTATTCTGTTGCCTGTTCCCGGCGTTCCATCCAGTTCCTCCTGCCCCAGGCTCCATCCTGTCCCTTCTGCCCTGTTCTCCTGCCCAGACTCCCTCCTACATCACCCATTTCCGGCCCCTGCACACTCTGAGGAGCAGGGCCCCCTTTACCAGGGAAACACGTACTCTCATCTGCTGGGTAAAGGCGCATTCACTTGCTCTCTGCCCACCCTCACCTCCCCATGGCCTGTTTCGGGCCTCTCTACCAACCTCTGTCCCTATTCCCCTGCGCCAGGCCTGCCACCTGGCTCTCCCTGGGTGTCCTCGCCCACCCCCAGCTCTCACTGAGAGTTAGAGATGCTCACCACACAACCTTGGGCTACTGAGTAGATTAAGACCACGATGAAAATACACAGCACGGTGCGAATCTGAATCGTCAGGCACCCTGGAAAACACTGAACAAGAAAATAGTATTTGAGAAAATAACCTCGATAACACAACTGACTTGTATGCACAGCCAATAATTCACTGAACACAAAATGTGAACGGCCACCTGTGTGCTCCTGGGCCCTTCCCTGCCATTCCTCCTCCACACACACTTCTTGGTGCTTTTCACATTCTCCCAGGTGGAAAAGTTGCCAAAGTTAAACCAAACAAACAAATAAAACAAAACAAAAAAATCCCTAAAGTTTAAATTACAAAGAATAACAATTCCCTTCCCTCCGTCCAAGACTGTCAATCTGTTCAGGGCTGACAGCAAGTAAATGGATTAATTGGACATTTTCTTTTCACAGAATTCTCCCATCCTGGACATGGTAAGAATTTCTATTCTTTTGACTCTTTTTCTAATTGTTTCAAATAAGTTTTCCTGTGTTCTTTACACAGGTTTCATATTGATCTTAAGTGATTAGAAGTTTTAAATCTATTTATTTTAAACACATTTATAAACCGTCAACAAATGATTTCCCCAGGGGCAAGTAAGACTACCTTTTTACACTCGCACTCTTAAAAGGAAGTACCACAGGGATCCTCCCAAAGCAGCCAGCACCGAGGGAGCCCATGACCAGCCTGGACATCCCTGTGGGTTGTATTCTTGAGCCTTCTGGCCTCAGACATGGAGTCGTGAACTCCCACTCTACACAAGGAGTAGGAGGCGTCAGGCCCCGCACCCAGAGTCATTTCTGTGTATGGGATGGGGTGGGTGGTCCCAGTGCAGGGCTGCTGGGTTACGGACCCCAGTCCTGTTCTAGGTTCTGCAGATCTCAACACTCGCCGGAACACCAGTCTCTGCAGACCTCCTCAAAAGGAAGACCTGTTTTGCAGGTGCAAAGCCCAAACACTTCACAGATGTGGGTTCACCTCATCTCCCTGCCAGTCTGATCCTTGCCCCTGGACAGGATGCAGGTACAAATCATTGATTCCTCCGCAGCCCTCCTATAGCTACCCCACCACCCCTGCCTCCCAGCCCTTACCCCACTGGCTCCTACCCCTGGCCCTCCCCCAACTGCTGGCTCCTACCCACCCCCTCTCCTGCCTCCCTAGCCCTCCCACAGATCCTGTCCCCCTTCTGCCTTGCACCTTCCCAGCTCCTGTCCACCTCCCCTCCTGCCCTCCTAGCCCTAGCCCCCACAGATCCTGCTTCACTTCTGCCCCCCTCCCTCCCCAGTTACTGCCCCCTGGCTCTGCTCCCTGTACCCCTCACCTCTGGCTCCTGCCTGCCCCCTGCTGCTTCCCTAGCCCTGCCCCCACAGATCCAGCCTCTTTTCTGTCCCCCCTTCTGCCTCCCCAGCCTCTGCACCTACGGTTCCTGCTCCTGCCTCCTTGGCTCCAACATGCTGTGTTCTCTGCGCAGTTAAAACTGCCAGCCACTGCAGGTGTGTTCCTTCTCAGAGTAACTCTTGGTCTGCCACTGGGCCTCATGGAAACTGAACACTTGGCCACAGGCCACCAAGTCACCAAGAGGACTGACTGCCCATCATGAGCGGATGCTATGGATCCAGGGAGCCTCTGGGATGAGCATGCTCAGCAGCATGCTGCCATCAAAAGGGAGGAAACATCCATGTTCAGGTCCAAGCAGGCCCTAAGGGTATGGGTGAGTTACAGGAAGCAGCGGCCTAGAACCCCTGGGCCCCATTCCTACTATGCTGTCCTCTTTCCCAGACTGCACACCTGACCTCTGGAGGAGCTCCCCATGATCAGCTGCCACAGAAAGAGAAGACTCGTGCTGGTTCCCAGATGGTCCTGCTGATATGCAGGCACCACCTGATCTCAATCTGCATACAGAGAATCAAAAACACACAACTGCAGCACCACAGCCCTTTCCGGGACAGCCCTGAAGGACAATGGAGAAGGGAGATCCCTCATGCACAGGGAGCTATGGCAGCACACCTGACTGTGTGCACCGTGCTGGGTAGAGACATGGTCAGGCACGCATCTGTATTCTGCTCCATGGGCTATGGACAATGCTTTGGCTGGCTGTTCAGGGACTTGGAGGAAATAGGATTGAAAAACTGGGGACAAAAAGGTCTGGAGCAGAGGTGAGTCCACTCTAACCAAAAAGAAAAAAAAGAAAAAAGAAAAAAAGATATTGATGTTCCATGCGAATTTTCACCAAAGGGAAACCTCAGCAGAAGACCTTAATAATCAAGTGGACAGGATGACCTGTTCTGTGGGTACCAGTCAGCCTCTTTCTCCAGTCACCCTGTCGATGTCCAAGGGGCTCTTGAACAAAGTGGCCATGGCAACAGGGATGAAAGTCAAACACAGGCTCAGCAACATGGACTTCCACTCACTGGGACTGACCTGGCTATAGCCACTGCACTGCAGAGCTATACAGTGCTATAATTCATTGGTGTACTACACACGGGCTCATCATCCTGAAGCCACTGGCTTAACAGAACATGGAATAGTCTTTTGAAGACTACGTTACAACACCCACTAGGTGGCAGCATCTTGCAGGGCTGGGGTAACCCTCTCTAGGACTCAGGGCATGTTCTACTTTAGCCTCCAGTATAGGCCCACCTGCATGTAGCATGGGGTCATGAAAAATGACCACAGGAGCTGAAGCCAGGCAACCTGACTTTGACAATCAGTGGGAAAAGGTGTCAATGACCCTTAAACAATCTTGTCAAAATATCAAAAACATGTATTGTTGGTTGAAATCACAGGCTAAAAGTGCCTGCAGGTAGTGTGGTGGTTAAGGGTGCTGGACTCCCACATAGTCAACCGTGGTTCGAGCCCCGGACCTGGCAGCTTGCTTTCTCTCTCTCTCTCTCTCTCTCTCTCTCTCCTCCCTCCCTCCCTCCCTCTCTTTCACACACACACACACACACGCACACACACATGCATACACTCTGTCCCTCTCTTATCAAATTAAAATAAATAAATGAACAAAGTTAAAAATAATTCTTAAAAAAAAAAACCTAAGTGTTCCTTATCCAAAATCCTTGGGACCAGAAGTATTTCAGATGTTTTTGAATTTGGGAATATTTGCATATATATTATAAGATATCTGGGGAGTGGGAACCAAGTCTAAACATGAAATGCCTTTATGTTTCATATGCACCTTATACACATAGCCAGAATATCATTTTATAAAATTCTTTAAGCTGCAGCATTTTGACTGTGACCCTCAAATAAGGTCAGGTATAGAATTTTCCATTTGTGGTATCATGTCGGTGCTCAAAAAGTTTCAGATTTTGGAGCATTTTGAATTCGAATTTTTAGATTAAGGATGTTCAATCTGTATACAGAGAAACTAAAAAATCTTAGTCAAAGCTAATATTTACTGTGCAAACTTGGGCTAGGCATGGTTATCAGATGATGCCCAAGGTTCCTTGCCCTGATTCCTGGGCCAATAACCATGACAAGCTAAGGCCAGCATCTCTATGATCATGTCATATGACATGGCAAAAAGGATTCTGCAAATGTAATTAAGTTTACTAATCAGTTAATCAGAAAGAACTACCTGCTACAAATAATCCAACCTTATACACACCCAAGGCCTTGAAAGCAGAGTTCCCTTTCTGTGCAGAGGCTTTTTAGTTTGGTGCAATCCCACGTGTCTGTTTTTGCTGTTGGGGTTCATATCCAAGAAATCACTGCCCAGACCAATGTCATGGAGCTTTCCCCAGCACTATTAACAGTGAAGATATAACCACAGGACTGGGAGAAAATATTTGCAAACCATACATCTAATAAGGGTTTAACATCCAAAATATCTAAGGAACTAAAACAACTCAACAGCACCAAAACAAATACCCAATTTCAAAAATGGGCAAAGCACTTTAATAGATATTTCTTGAAAGAAGACAGATGAATGGCACCAGGTATATGAAAAATGCTCAGTATCACTAATCAGGAAAACCCAAATTAAAACCACAATGAGATATCACTTCACACCTCTTAGAATGATTGTTATCAAAAAGACAAGAGGTAACTATTGGTGAGAATGTGGAGAAAATACTACTGTGGGAATTTAAATTGGTAAGGATTTGATGTGCCATTGATGGTAGAATGGATGGAGCAGGCCACAGAAGTCCAAGGATAGCTCTGGGAGCCGAGAGTGATCCAGAGACAGTCAGCAAGCTCAGGACCCTGTTCCTACCACTGCCCAGGACTAGGTTCTGTGACCACCAGGAAGAGCCTGAAGTGTGTTCATTTTAATCAATATCGATCACTCACCTGTTGTGCCCACCAGAAACACTGCCAAAAGAGTGCATGGTGCCCTGCTAGGACCGGGTTAAATGAGTGCATGCCACAGGTGCAGACTCTTTCTACCTGCCCATGGAGGGCAAGGGGCAGGACAGCTTCTACCGTCTCATCTGTCCTGCTGAGACCCTGAAGTGGGCTCTCAGAGAACCTCCTGATAGAAGCAGGGACACCTGTCCTTGAGTCTCGATGCCCAGGCTAAGCACTGTGTACTGAAAGCAGATCCCACATGGTCAAATGCAGTTCAAATCCCAGCCCCAGAAGCTTGAAAATCTCATTAGGCATGTGTGCATTCATCCCCCAAATTCCTCCAGTATGGAGAAACAAAGAAGTGACTGAGCACGATTATGCCCCGTTAGGAGATCCTCTCTCTCTCTCTCTGGTGAGTGTACATACCATCTGGCAGAAAAACAAAAGAACAAAATAAACAAGTCGGGTTGAGTTCAGGCAGACCATGTCAGTGGTGCAATGCCACAGGGTTTGTTTTATGGAGCCAGGTGGTTTTCAAGTTTGAATACTACATTTCAGGGAAGGTCAGGAGCAGATTTTGCTTCTCAGCCACATGAGCGAGTTGCTTAGGCCGCTGAGCCCAGTAAACCACCCAGCATGGGAGACTCCTTAAAGTCACAGAGTGGAGTGAATCTATTCATGAGATCGGTGATCCGGGTGAGAACAGCTGGGCAGCGCTTTAGGGCCAGTGCACCCTCAACTACTCTTTGTAACTGCTGTTCTTTCCCCAACTGTTCCTCAGGCTGTCTGCATGTCTTACGCTACTGTATACTGCCTGCACGCACTCTCCAGCCAGACATGGGCACAGTGATGGGCCTTACAATCATCATCCATCAAGCTTTGTCTTGAAATTACACAAGGGATTTTACAAAGTTCATGAGGAAATGGAATTAAAGCACAAGTTTATCCTGGTACAAAAAAGAAATCCATCCATAGATTTCTTTTTTCCATCCATATATTTCTTTTTTTTTCATACTCTGCACTTTCTAGGACTTTTTTGAAGACCCCCCCTCTTAAAAAAGAGCAGTCTTTAAAGTGGGACCCTCCAAAGGACTCGCTTTACGGAAATCACAGAGCTGGGAACACAGATTTAATACACATTTTTTAATTATAAAAAATTAAGTCATTACTTATGAATAGTGGCAAAGTTAAGTGAATAAACCTAAATTTTATCTTGTCGAGAAGTTGTTGTTTATCAGTAATTATGCAAAAATAACACTGGATATGCCAGAAGTGACAGCTCAGGGCAAGCTGGGGAACAAAGGCATTTGGAAATGAAGCCTGAGAAACTGACAAACGGACATGGGACTAGGGACACAGAAAGTCCTCGCTGATGGAGCAAGACTGCATAATGTGCAGAAGTCAGGACAGCACTCCAAAAGTCCACAAGAGGCTCAGCCACAGCAGCGCAGGCAGTAGGGAACTGCTCTGCGATTATGGAGGCCATGTAGAAGACCAGGGTTCAGATCCCAGCTCAACGCGAGCATGTCAGGTGCACATGCACGTCCCTGTAATCCTGGGTGGCTAGAAGGCTGGGGTGTGTGTGTGTGTGGAATAGTGATGTGAGACCCTGTTAAGGGTGCCTGTGCTCTCTCACATGAAAGAAATAAAACAAACAAAAAAGTCCATAGGAACAGAGCAGATGGTGTGTCTGCAACTTGATAGTGTAACTGTCCAACTGGAAGGCGCCAAGCACCCCTCTACCCCTCCCAGAGTCCAGGTCACGGCACACAATAAGCCGTCTCACCTATGCCACACTGGATGCCACTGCAGGACAGGATCTATACCCTGTGTTCATTTTAATCAATATCGATCACTCACCTGTTGTGCCCACCAGAAACACTGCCAAAAGAGTGCACAGTGCCCTGCCAGGACCGGGTTAAATGAGTGCATGCCACAGGTGCATACTCTTTCCACCTGCCCATGGAGGGCGAGGGGCAGGACAGCCTCTACCGTCTCATCTGTCCTGCTGAGAGGGCAGGCAGAAGCCACAAGTACCTGGGCCAGGTGATGTGCAGGAACCGGACACAGGCCACTCACATACCTGGACCCGAGTGATGTGCAGGTACAGGACACACGCCACCAGGAAGCAGATGCAGAACACTAGCAGGAGCAGGACGGCCAGGCTCCTGAGACAAAAGACACAAGGTCACTGCTGAGCAGAAGCTGGGAACTGGCCTCTTCTCTGCTTCCCCACAGCCCCGAACCCTGGAAGGACACATTAACCTGGCTGCCTGCCACTCAAGTCTCAGAGCACATGCCCCATGGTTCTCTTTTAGGGAGGACATCTGGGGCTCATAGGTGATGGGGCCTTTCCTGAGTCCAGTCTCACACACCCTACGATCTACCAGGACTGAGTGAGATGGCTTCTCTGGAAGTTCTGTTCTGGGAGATGACCCAGACTCTGCTGAGCCGGCTTCTTGCTGGACTTCATCTGAGGAGAATCTGTCTAGAAAAAGCCCAGTCTCCAAATGGGGCCCTTAGGTGGTGGCTGTGTTCACAGCCTCAGGGTGGGTGGGATGCAGACTGAGGCCCCTCTCCTCAGCAGATGTGTGGCTGCCATGTGCTTCCCAGAAACCCAGAGAATCTTTTTCCCCTGGCAGGCCTTATGAAGAAATGCCATGTTTGGAGGAAGAGGTACAAGTGAAACTTTCTAGTGTCTTCCTTGCCAAAAACCAAAAGCCACCAAACTCACATTGATTTACATGATGATTAAATGTTATAAAACTTTCTATTTGTCTTCCTTTTCAGAGGTAAATTTTTCTCATTTTAACGATTCTCAAATGATGCACGCCTAGAAACCAATGAACCTACTCAGGGTAGTTTGTGTTCTCTCTCAAAAGCTATTACTAAGGCCAGCCCCATGGTCTGGTGGTTAAAGGAGCCAGATCCCACATGGCTGACCATAGTTTGAATCCTGGCCCTGGTAGCTTGAAAACCACTCCAGACACCTGTGCATGCATGTCCCAAATTCCAACAGGATGCAGAAATGTAGGAGAAGTTTCAGTGTAATCACACCCCACTGGGGAAGGCTTCCTTCCTGTATCCCTCTTACTGTCTCCTTCTCTCTCTTTCTCTTTCTCTCTCCCTCTGGCAAGCACACACAGCCTTTAGCAATAATAATAATAATAAAGCCATTTCTAAGGTAACCGTTCCTGTTGCTTGGACAGAAACTAAAAATAAGCAGTCTCTTAGAACTGAGTACATTCAAAACAGAAAAGCGGAAGTGACCAGTCCCACACCACAGGCACACGCTAGCTCAGCATCAACTTGGGTCTGTGGGAGGATGATGGGCTAATCTCTGCCCCAGCGTGTAGCATGGCAGCAGAGTGACCCCAGGAGATGAGTCTTGAACATAGAAGGGAAACCCGGGCTCCCACCCCAGGCACCTGCGACTCCTGGGACCCTCCCCATTGCAGTGATGCAGACTGGAACAGCACTCACTGTGGGATTACCAGAAGGTAGACAAGGCCGAATAAGGCAGCCAGGATGAGGGCGAGGACGACGGCGCTGGTGAAATACTCGTCCTGAAGCTGGTGGTACTGTGAGGGAAACAGAGAGGGAGAGCGCCTCCTACTAGCCCGAATTTCCAGCAGATTTTACAAGGGCACAGTGCAGTTTCAAACCCTTAACCCTTACCTTTTGCTCCCGCTCGGCATGTTTGTACTTCAGGGTGAAGAAGTTCAGATCAGCAAGCTCCAGCTCCGGCTGGCGGGCTTCCAAGAGGCGGCTGAGGTACCTGTTGACACGCGTGCCGGGCGTGGTTTGGACCACATTCGCAGAGAAGGATGAGCGGTTTCTGAGTTTCTCCGAGGCAGTTCTCAGTGCCCTCCGCTGCAGCCATCAGGGGAATAAAGGCACAGGGTCAAATTCTCTGCTTACTGAAGAAAAGTCTTGCATGTTGGCTCCCAGCCTGGGTCCTCATTCACTGCAGGTTGTGGGGGCAGGGGGAGGGGTAGATGGTGGGGAGGCAGGAGTGTAAGGGAACTGATATGCCATCAAGCCTCTGCCCCTGCTGGCAGTAAGATTAAAAATGAGTTTCATTCAGTGTGAGGTGTCCACTTCAGTGGTAATTAGGGTCAAACAGCCCTTATGTGATGACATCTCAGCGAGGGTTACAGGCTTCAACACATGTGGGAGGGTAGGTGTGCCCAGCACAGAGACTGTAGGCATCTACACGGAGAGGCCTGAGATATAAGAGGAGGCATCCAACCTGCCTTCTTGAGAGGAAGAAATGCCCTGATCTACTGTCAGCAGGGCCAGTGGAAATTGAGTGCAAGCCCCTCCCCAAGGTTTCCAAACACCACACAAGAGCCACAAGCAGGGACCTGTTGGCAAAAAGGAAAACCAGAGTCTATTCAAAACCACCTGCCATGATCACTCAATCCATGCGGCAGAAGCAGGACGTCTGGTGTTTAATACACCAAAGGAGAAAACGAGATTTAAAATGCATGAGTCATGCAGCTCTAGGAAAGATGGAACAAACATAGATATATCCCTTTTGTTTCTATTGAGTGGCAAACATGGACAATATATATAAATAAACACAAGTGACAGAGGTAAAAGAATGGAGACTTCCATGGACCTTGGAACTTAAAGGAAAATAGTGTTTGAATGGGCAGGGAACTGGGGTTCCTGAGACAGCACCAAGAAAGTGGAATGAGGAGGAAGATTTCATTCCCACTGGTGGTAATGAACCCCCACTTGTACTGTCAATGGAAGCCTAATGGGAGCCCTGATCATCCATATCTGTCAACAGAGGCTAGGTGCCCCATTCCCCTGGGTCAGGGAGGCCAAGTGGGGAGCGTGGCTTTCTACTTCCACCTGGCAGTAACAAAGAAGTGTCCCCATCATCTCACAGGAACAGAGTCTGAGGAGGTCTGCTAAAACAGAACATTCCAGTAAGATGTGACATCTATAACGTAATTCCAAAATGGCTAAGATAAAAAAAAAAAAAATTGCCCATCCTACCAAGTCCAGAAAAAACTCAATTTAAATGAGAAAGAATCAACATACTGTACTAACAGCAAGATAACACAGTTCTTAGAATTACCTGACTGAATTCTAAATTAGTCATCATAAAATGCTTCAATAAGTAATTATGAACACACCTGAAACAAATGAAATATAGAAAGTCACAGAAAAGAAACAGAAGCATAAGGAAGAGTTAGGTAGACAAAGAAAAGAATCGTAAAAGCATCGTAAGGAAAGTAGCAACTGATCTTTAGGAGAAAAAAATAACAACTAGAATGATGGGAAATTTCTTTTCAGAAACCATGGGGGTCAGAAGGAAGAGGGAAAACATTTTCAAGTGCCAAAAGAAAACTGTCAACCCAGAATTCTATATCCAGCAAAAGTATACTCCAGTAACAAAGGGAAATCAAGTCATTTTTAGATGAAAGAAAGTTAAGAGAACTTGTAGTTAGTCTAAAATAATAGCAAAAGGAAGTTCTTAAAACAAAAATGAAATGGTGAAAATCAACATCTTTCTCAATAATCAATAGATTGAAAATCATCAAGAATCCAGAAGAACACAACACTACCATTAACAAACAAGATCTAATTGACACTAACAGGATACTCAAAAAATAGCAGAAATATACATTCTTTTCAAGTGTCCACAGAATATGAACTAAGAAAGACCACATCCTTGGCAATAAAACACAGCACCACAAAATGCACAAAATTTTAAATAATCGGAATCACATACAGTGTGTGTTCTCAGACAAAAGTAGAATGAACAATAACAATGAAACAGCAGAAAAACCTCCAAGCACTTCCAAATAAGTCAGAGAAAGCTGAAAGGGAAATAAACACTATATAAACCTGAATGAAATTAAAACATAATATATTAAAAGCTGTAGGATATATCTAAAACAATACAAAAAGGAAAATACAATACTCAATGTTTAGTACTAATATTAGTACTAAATATTTGTGTAATAAAAGTGGGAAAATACTAAATTAGCAATCTAAGCACCATGTTAACAAAGTAAGAAAAGAAATTCAAAATTAACTCAAAGCTAATAGAGGGAAGGAAATAGTAAGGAGAGTAAGTCAATGACAGAGAAACGGAAAACATAGGGAAAGAAATCAATGAAATAAAAAGTTGATTACTTGATAATATCTATAAAGTCAACAAAGATTAAGACTGGAAAGATGCTAACAAATTCAGGAATGAAATGTAATTTTACTACATACTCTGCAAACATCAAAAGAATAATAAAGGAAGGGTATAAACAACTCTATGCACATAAATCTGACAACTTAGATCAAATGAAATATTCTTTGAAACACAAAAACTACCATAACTCACCCAACACAAAAAGTAATTTAAACAATCCTGTTAAACTAAAGAAATTTACTTGATAACTTCAAAATTCCTGAAGAAGTAACTTCTGTGCCCAGATGGTTTCAACAGATATTTTACCAAATATTTACACTCAATCACTTCCAAAAAATGGAAGAGGTAACCCTTCTCAACTCACTTTACAATGTCAATATTACTGAGATATCAAAACTAGACAAAGATAATACCAAAAAAAAGAGAAAACTGTAGGCCGGCATCCCTTGTGACTATAGATATAAAATCATCTACAAAATATTAACAAATCTAATTCAGTAATATATAAACAGAACTCAATAGATCATGATCAGTTCAAGGGATACAGGATGGTGAATATTTGAGCATCAGTGTATCCCAGCAGATTAACAGGGAAAAGAAGAAAAATCTATTGATACTGGAAAACCATTTGACAAAATTCAATATCCACTTCATGATAAAAAAAATTATCAGAAAAATAAAAGTGAGGCTGACTGTGGCTATAGGCCCTAATGGCTGGGACCCGTCGCTCATCCCCACCCCTGCTCATCTCTGGACTTCAGGTTTGTTTCTTGGGACTTTAAGACAGACTTGCACTCCTCCCCACCCCATTTGGAAACTGGTTCAAGCTAGTGGCGGTGCCAGACACCAGGCTGCCTGTGGCTGCAGGCCCTAACGGCTGGGACCTGTAGCTCATCCCACCCTTGCTCATCTCTGGACTTAAGATTTGCTTCTTAGGGTTTTTTTTTTTTTTTTTTTTGAGAGATTTTCACTGTAGGGCGCGTGCGCTCGCCAGACAGAGAGAGACACAGAGACAGAAAGCGAGAAATCACCCCCCAGGGGGGATGGTCACGCCGCAATCCCTTCTCCTCCATTCTCCTCTCGGGATCTTGGGCACGCACGCACATGCACCCGGCGTGAGTTTTAAGCCACCGGGTCCGGGACACGAACTGTGGTCGACTACGTGGGAGTCCAGCGACATAGCCATTACGCTAACTGCTGGTTCCCTGGGTTTTAAGACGAACAGTCTCCTCTCAGGATTTTGGTCACTCACACACATGTGCCCAGCATGATTTTCAAGTCACCAGGTCTGGGATTCAAACTGTGCAGCTGGCCACGTGGGATTTAGCACGATTCTCAGAATCTCAGTGTTTTAAATAGCATGCAATTTTTCCTTTTCTCTTGAAGTGAAGTTTATTAGATCAGTTGGAGGCTCACCACTTCTTAGAAACAGGGAGGTCTTTGGGTTGCCCAGGACCAGTGACAACAGTGCATACTACTGGTGAGCAACAGGTAGGCAGACCAGAAGAGAGATCAACAATTTCCTAATCCTACACACCTTTTAACACTCAGAGATATCTCAAATAAGTTAAGAACTAACATATAAATTACAAGATGACTAGGAACAATCTCAAAGGCTCAAGAAATAGGAGCAACCAACAAAAGGCCTCTCCCTCAAAGGAAATCATCAAGCCCACATCACCCACAGTCAATACAATGGACATTGTGGCCATGTCAGATAAGGAATTCAGAATATATGTAGTGACCAAACTAACTGAGATGGAAGAGAAGAGACAATGAGTTCCAGGAGATGAGGAAGTCCATTCATGATTTGAAAGAAGAAACAGACACCTTAAAAAAGAACCATATGGAACTTCTAGGGTTGAAGAATGTGATACAGGAAATCAAAACCTCCCTTGAAGTTATTAAGAGTAGATTAGATCAGGAAGAAGACCGAATCTCAAATGTAGAAGACAAAACATCTGACCTAGAAAAACATATTAAGAAGATTGAGAAAACAACCAAGAAAAAATGAAGATAATATACCAGGAATACTGGATACCATCAAGTGCCCCAACATCCAGATAATAGGTATCCCAGAAGAGGAAGAAAATAATAAGGGCATTGATCATTTATTCCAGAAAATCCTGAAAGAAAACTTTCCAAACCTAGAAAGGCATTAAAATATCCAGACCCAAGAAATACATAGGATCCCAAGTAGAATCAACCGAAGAAGATCTCTCCAAGGCACATCATAGCCAGATTGGCAAAAACAACAGACAAAGACAAGATACTAAAGTTGGCAAGAGGGAAACATCAAGTTACTTACAAAGGTCACCCCATCAGGCTAACATCGGATCTCTCGGCAGAAACAATGCAGGCAAGAAAAGAATGGAAAAATATAGTCAAAGTGTTGAATGAAAAACAATTTCAACCAAGAATACCATACCTAGCAAGATTATCTTTTGTATAGGAAAAAAAAAAAGATGAAAACATTCTCAGATAAACAAAATCTGAAGGAATTTACCAACTCTAGACCAGCTCTTAAAGAGGTTCTAAAGGGAGTGCTATACTAGGAAAACTAAAAAATCAGACGGACACTTAGTAATAGGAACAGATCCAGAAATATCAATAATAACATTGAATGTTAACAGATTAAATTCTCCAATTAAGAGACACAGACTGGAAGAATAGATTAAAAAATAGAAACCTGCTATCTGTTGCCTACAAG